TTTTTTTTTACTGTTTTCTTATTGTGTGACATTTATCATTATGACTATTTTTGTAAATATATGGATTCACGGACCAACTAATATTCTCACGTATAGATTTGTAAATTTTTTGTTATATATTTAACTACGCACAAGATTTTCTTATGTATTGATGTTTTTCCATAATTATGTACATTTCAACGTAAAGTGTTTCATCTGAAGAGGACCAGATTTGGTGGTCGAAACTAGTAAATGTAATTAACATCTGTTTTTTAATCGTTACATTTATGTAAATTTTATAAGTTCATTTTAGAATATATGTATTAATTGTTTGTTAATTTACTTTTCGTTTGACTCTTACAATGCCATTTCCATGTTTATAATGTTTTTAAGGAAAGAGTCCTTTATTTGTTTTATTTTTGTTAATAAAAATATATTACAATAAATGTTCTTATTAAAATTTTTTTTAATTAAATCTTGCTTTTAATGCTACACATTAAGAATCTAATTTGTTAATAGTAATTGTAATATTAATTTTAAAATATAAATCGCTAAGTTAACTTTAATTTGTATTAAAATAAATAAGTTGTTTAAATGTACTTACCTTATATAAAATAAATAGATAAAACACACACAATAATCATGTTCATCAGATAATTGAATATGATTGACTCCAAAGATAAGAATGTCAATCACATTTATATGCTTGGCGAGCAGACTAATTCAACGACAAATTTAAACTAAACTTTCTATCTATGAAGTAAATTTGGAATCTTTCATAGTCGATATACCGTGAAGGAGAGATTGAAATACAGAAAGCCCCTCAAAATAACTATCTCACTCTGTTTAAGCTATAAACTTTCAGATTCACTTCGTATGCAGAATATTTGGTCTAGATAACATATACTGTGTGATAAATTTAAACTTATTTTTAGATCACAAATTAGATGAGATATGATTTTTATAGATATTTTGTCATTAAAAACGAATCTGCAAATAAAATTGCTGTATCATGTCACATATTTGAGAAAATTGAACTTAAATTTACTAAAAGTACTTTTGGGTACCTTTGAGCTAAAATAGTTAAAAAATGTGACGTGATACAGCAATTTCATTTACGGAATAGTTTCCACACAGCACATTTTATCTAAAGAACGTCTCAAGGACGCGTTTAGTACATACAGACATTTTTTAAACGTCCCATGGACGTCCCTAGGACATTTGTGTGGGATTTTTAACGACAAAAAGATCTATATAAAAATCATTGTGTCTGGATTGTGGTCTAAAATTTGTTTAATATATTAATTTAGTTCAATTTTAGTCCATTGCGTCCTAAAATGGACGTTTTTAAGAAGTCCAAAATGGTAACACTGGATGGTTTTAAAACGTTTTTAAAATATCCATGAATCTAATCTGGATGTTTTTTATATGTCCAAAACGTCCAACATGTACGTTTTAAATACATTTTTAAAACGTTACTGTGCTGTTGTGACCGGACATTAATATGAAACATGAAAATATTCATATATTTACCAGATTAATTTACTAATCTCAATATCCGAATCGGTCGCCACTTCGTTTCACCACCTACGAAGAAGGAAACACCGGTACACAGTCGGATCCTCTCGGATTTCGAAGAGCCGCTTCGCAGTCACGATCTGTAGTCGCCCACGGTATGTTCCCTGATCCTCAGTATTTGAATCCACCTATAGGTATTTGTAGGGAATAAATAATAACACTGACTCGACTCGTTAAATTTAATAAAATTTAAATTTATTAAAAGAAATTATTTATAAACTCTTAAATGTACTAATCAAAACGATACGTTTAACGCGCGGTACGCGGAGCCTCTTATATATACAGGGTGTCATTAATCGAGCGAATCACCTATCATGAGCAGATAGAGTAGACCGAATTGAGTCGAAAAGTCTTGTACCATTTTTCAGTTGACGCAATATTTAACGAGATATTAGACCTTAAATATAACCAAATAAGCGCGTTCGTCCGGCCTACTACTGGCAAGCGTGTACGCCTCTCAATCGCTCTCTACGCGCGCGGGTCGCGAGGCGCGGGGATAGGCAGGCGCGCCGTTCAAGTTATGACGTTTGGGGGCCAGCGGCGGTGTGCGCGGCGCGGGCGGCGGAGCGCTTGTCAACCAATCCCCACTCTTCGCGCGACTAGCCATCGCGATAGCGAATATTCGGCGCTTCAGAAATTAATATTTTGACTATGAAGATCAGGAAATGATCGAAAAATCTTTTTGAGAACACAGTTTAGTTCGCTCTAAAGCGTGTACATGCCCGTGTACATACAGAAAAATATTATAAATATGAATTGTTTTAAATAAATAATAAGTGTATTTTAAAAAGGTACTTGATAATTGTACCGACAACGTTTATTAATAAGATAGAGCGGACTAAACTGAATCGAAAAGCCTTTTATCAGTAATTTGTAATTTTCGCAACAGTTAACAAGATATTAATTACTAAAATATTAATTTTCAATAATTTTTTACTCAAGTACTATCAACTTTACAGAAAAACAGCAAGAGACAAAAATTGTTTATTTTCTTTTCATAAAGCTCTGGGAATTTTTTCAGAATTTTTTAGTACCGTATTTTCTCATTTTGATAAAAACAGTTGTTAATAAAAAATGGAGCACTAGAAGATTGATAAAAAATTATGAAAAAATTTCTAGAATTTTATGAAAAGAAAATAAACAATTTTTGTCTCTTGCTGTTTTTCTGTAAAGTTGATAGTAATTGAGTGAAAAATTCTTGAAAATTAATATTTTAGTAATTAATATCTTGTTAACTGTTGCGAAAATTACAAATTAATGATAAAAGGCTTTTCGATTAAATTTAGTCCGCTCTATCTTATTAATAAACGTTGTCGGTACAATTATCAAGTACTCTTTTAAAATAGTACACTTATTATTTATTTAAAACAATTCATATTTATAATATTTTTCTGTATGTACATGGGCATGTATACACGCTTTAGAGCGAACTAAATGAGTTCTCAAAAAGATTTCGATCATTTCCCAATTTTTGCAGTCAAAATATTAATTTCTGGAGCGCCGAATATTCACTATCGCGATGGCTAGTCGCGCGAAGAGTGGGGATTGGTTGACAAGCGCTCCGCCGCCCGCGCCGCGCACACCACCGCTAGCCCCCAAACGTCATGACTTGAACGGCGCGCTTGCCAGGCCGTCCCGCAGCTTCCCGCGGCCCGCGCGCCCATCGCGGCGTTCTGTAGGCGTACATTCAATGTGTGGTAGGCCGAACGGACGCGCGTATTCGCCAATCTTTAAAAATTAATATCTCGTTAACTATTGCTGCAATCTCAAAATGGTACAAGACTTTTCGACTCAGTTCGGTCTACTCTACCTGCTCATGATAGGTGATTCGCTCGATTAATGACACCCTGTATATACAAAGACTAAACGGAATCTAAGTTATTCGCAAAAATACGAAATTCCGTGTCAAACACTCGCGGAAAGCTATATATCACGTCGCGGTGTCGTAATCTCCCGTCAAAATTGTTTATACGTCTCGCGGAATAATTTAATCTCGACGCGACACGTTATTGCACTCGATGATGCAATAAAAACCGTTAACCATTACCAAAACTTGACGCAGATTAGTTAGTCCAACTCTAGGGAAGCTCCCGATCCGTCTGGGACCGAGTTTATCTATGCAAAGCACGAACCACGGAGAGTGACCCGCAGCGCTCTCTGCGTCAAAATCGAGAAAAATCGGAGAGAGACAGAACGATCCTCCCGGCGTCACGAGTCGGGAACTACTCACTCTGCTCTCTCCGCGCTCGTTTATATACTGAAAGGCGTCGGTAACCTTCCACCAATCAGCGCTCTCGCCCGCTGTGCGAGAGAGATAGTTTAATACCGTCCCTAGGACGCGACGGCATAATTTCGTAAGACATGACGGTGTATCGTAGGACACGACGGTCTCTATCGGATTATCGATCGATCGTAGCACTCGACGGCCTTTCCGTAGGACATGACGGTGTTCCGTAGGACACGATGGGCCTCGACAATCGTAGGACACGACGGCAAATTTCCGTAGGACACGACGGTAAATTTCCGTAGGACGCGACGGTAAAGCAACACGCGGCGCTAATTTCTCGTAGGACACGACGGTAAAGCAACACGTCGCGAAAGCAACACGCGGCGTTAAATTTCGTAGGACACGACGGTAAAGCAACACGCGGCCGAAGTAACACGCGGCTGAAACAACACGCCGGGAAAACCAACACGCGGCGACAAAATCGCGGTTTTACGAGTTTTAACGGCTTTTATCGCATTTTCTCACGAAAAATAACTTATT